CCCGCTGGTGTCCTTGGAGCTGGTACAGGGGCTGGCATGTGTGGATTGGCCTTGGCACAAGGAGAGGAGTGGCTCTGTGGCAGGAACCTGCAGGTGTCTGTAAAACACCTGGAATAGATGTACATCATGGTGCCATAGCAAAAGGCTATGGCTTTGGGTTAAAAGGTATGAACAATTTTCCTAGGGCCTCGTTTCAGCCTGATGAAACAAACCCTTAAGTCTATAACCAGAGGAAACTTACTGAATGGAAGCGGTTGAGTGAGTGGTGGTGGTGGTGGTGGTGGTGGTTGTGGAGGAGGAGGAGGAGGAGGCTTCCATACCCTCTTATGCTAACCTGTCTCTAAAAGCTGGGACCAGTAGAATCCACAGAAATTTAAGGACTCCTGTAAACTGTCCATAGTCAGCACTCCCATGAAGCCTGTGAATGAGGCACACCTGTCTGTGCCTTTAACAGGAAACTTAACTAATGAACTACCAAGGTGCTTGTAGCCTTGGGGTCAGGGTCAGGGGGAGCTGTTAAACTGGCAAATCTATTAGTACTTGGTCATCCAATGCCATCAGATGTGAGGATAAATAAGCAGAAATGAGACAGCTTTCTAACTACCTAGGCAATCCCAGGTTTCTCTTCAATGGAATGGAGGGGATCCCACCCACCTCATGACAGAAATTGGTGAGGGAACTGTGGAACCCAAGCGAGAGGTTGAAACAGGCACTGAGGCCAGCATGAGAGACATGAGTCTAGGAAGCCAAGTTTGCCTCCATTTTTGTGTGTTTATAACATTTTTAAAGCTTTCTTAGGTTTTATGTGGATGTAGGTGCTGGATATTTGAGTGCCATTTGTAGGCAGACTTTTCTATCCCACCAGCCACTCCCCAAATAACCACACAGAAACTTATTATTAATTATAAATGCTCAGCTGATCACTCAGGCTTATTACTAACTAGCTCTTGCAACTTAAATTAACCCATTTCTATTAATCCATGTGCTGCCCTAAGGCTCGTGGCTTTTACCTCTCCCGAAGGTCCTGCTTCTTTTCCATCTGGCTGGCGACTCCTCTGACTCTGCCCTTCTTCTTCCCAGCATTTTCTCTGCCCAGAAAATTCTGCTAGCTATCAGCCATCAGATTTTTATTAACAATGAGAGCAACACACTTTCACAGAGTACAGAAGGATCATTCCACAGCAGGTGTGCACCAACATGCCCAGCTTTATTATTTATTGTTTGTTTGTTTATTTATTTATTTATTTATTTATTTATTTATTTATTTATTTATTTTAAAATAGAGTCTCATGTTGCCTGGGATGGCCTCAAATTTGGTGATAGCTGAGATTGATCTTTATTTTTTTTCCCCATTAAAAAATTTATGTGTATATTTGCCTACACGTACATATGTGCACCATGTGCTTGCCTGGTTCTGTGGAAGCCAGAAGAAGGCATCAGATCCCCTGGAACTAGAGTTGCAGATGGTAGTGAGCTGTCATGTGGGTTCATGGAACTGATCCAGCTCCTCTGCAAGAGCAGCGCTTGCTCTTAACTGCTGAGCCCTCTCTCCAGCCCCCGAACTACTGATCTCTTGATACTCCTGCCTCTGCCTCCCAAGTTCTGGGATTACTGACATGCACCACTAAGCCTAGCTGGATCAATTATTTTTGTCATGGGAAACATAGAATTAAATTAAAAAATAAGAAAATATCGGCTTGAGACAGGAGAGGGTGGCACACACCTTTAATCCCAACACTTGGGAGATAGAGGCAGGCAGATCTCTGTGAGTTTTAGGCCAGCCTGGTCTACAGAGCAAGTTCCAGGACAGCCAGGGCTACACAGAGAAACCCTGTCTCAAAAAACAAAAAAACAAACAAAAAAGGAAAAGAAAAAGGAAAGGAAAGAAAGAGAAAAAGAAAAGAAAGAGCAGAACAGCTACAGAGACCCACAGTCAAACATTAGGTGGAGCCAAGGGAGCCCCGCAGAAGAGGGGAGGGATTGTAGGAGCCAGAGAGTAGCGGACACCATGAGAACTCAGAATCGACTAAGCCGGGCGTATAGGGGCTCACAGAATCTGAAGTGACATACCGGAAATGTGTATGTATCTGAGCTAGGTCCTCGGCATTTATGTTATGGTGATTAGCTTGGTGGTCTTGTGGAACTCCCAACAGTGGGAGTCGGGGTGTCTCTGATTCTTTTGCCTGCGCTTGGGACTCTTTTCCTCCTACTGGGTTGCCACATCCAGCCCTGTTATGAAGGTTTGTGCTCACTCTTACTGTATCTTGTTAGGCCACATTTGGTAGATATCCATGGGAGGCCTGCTCTTTTTTCTGTTTCTTTTGAGGGAAAACTGAGAAGGAGTTTATCTAGGGGGGAGGGGAGGTGGAGGGAAAGACTGGGAGGAGTGGAGGGAGGGGAACCTTCATCTGGGATGTAATATATGAGAGAAAAATGCAAGTTAAAAAAAAAAAAGAAAATACCAGTTCCTAAGTACCAATAAGGAGACAATAGTCTACCTTCTTTATTTCTATGCTAGGGTTCAAACCCAGGACCTTAGGGCATGCTAAACAAAAACTCCTGGTATTTGAGCCCCTAGTCCCACCTCTTAAAGGTGTACCACGTCTAAACACTACCACACTAAGGGCTAAGCTTCTAGCACAAGAACCTTTGGGGACCCAAAACATCCAGCCATAGCAGAAGGAAACTGTGCTGTCATGCTTGGGCACCTTTCTTTCTTTGAAATAAAATATTCTCATATATCAGGCTTAGCTGAAGCATCGCCTCTTCAGGAAAGTCTACCCTGGTTCCCCAGGTGAAATGGCCACTGTCTCTTTTCCTCCTTGTTGACCCTCTGTAGACTTGTGTCAGTGGGCCTCTGATTTGCCATTGTTTTTACTGATTGATTCTGAGACAGAGTCTTGGTGTTTCACTTAGGCTGGTCTCAAACCTGCTTCATGTTGGCCTTGAACTTGAATCTTCCTGTCTCCGTGCTGGGATTACAGGCACTACTACCATGCTCAGCTTGCTTTACTCTACTTACCATGCTGGATCACCATTACTCTCCCATTGGCAGCGGTCTCATCCAAGGGTGGCCTGAGCTTCCCATATAAATCTCTAGCATCCAGAGCAGAGGCTAGCATAGGGGCTGTGATCAGTACTCATTCATTTCAGGAATGTAAGATTCGTCTCACAGAACTCCTAGCAGAACTTTACTGTGGGTGCTTTTTAGATTTATTGATTTTATGTGCATGAGTGTTTTGCCTCGTGCATATATGTGTACCACACGTGTGTCTGGTACCCACAGAGGTCAGAAGAGAGCACCAGATCTACTGGAACTGGAGTTATGGATGTTTGTGAGCCATCATGTGGATGCTGGAAACTGAACTCAGGTTCTTTGCAAGAGCAGCAAGTGTTCTTGACTACTGAGCCATCTCTCCAGCTCCCTGAGGGAGCTTATTTAGACCTGGCAGATCTGTTGCTCAGTGCTCAGCCTTCTGCTGTGTACTTTCCAGCCTGCTAACTCACATGGGCCTCACAATGGCCATGTGCAGGGCCGTGTAATATACTACAATTAAAACTCAGACCAACGAATGCCAAATATAGAAATATAGATGAGAGCCAAGATATTTTTCTTTTTTGTCTTTATTTATTTTTATTTTATGTGAATGAATAATGAGTGTGTGCCTGAATGTATATGTGCACTACACATGTGTTGTGCCTGCAGAGAATCAGACCCCCTAGAAGTGGAGTTACAGATGGTTATGAGCTGCCATATGGGTGCTGGGAATCAAACCCAGGTCTTCTAGAAGAGTAGCAGTGCTCTTAAATGCTATGCCATCCCTCTAGCCTCCTGAGATTTTTTTTTAACAAGTAAGCAATTTTAACATGTTTTTAAAAAATTTTAATTATGTGTATGCATATCTGTCTCTGTGTGCACACATATGTGCAGGTGCCCAAGGAGGCCAGAAGAGGGCAGTAGATCCCCTGGAACTGGAGCTATGGTGGTTGCGAGATTCCCAGTGTGGGCTCTGGGGATGGAACTCAGGTCCTCTGCAAGAGCAGCAAGTAGCAAATGCTTTTTCTTGGAACTTTCTTTGCAGACCAGGCTGGCCTCGAACTCACAGAGATCTGCCTGCCTTTTTCTCACAAGTGCTGGGATTAAAGGCATGTGCCACCATGCCCAGCAAGTACTCTTAACTGCCGAGCCATCTCCCCAGCCTCTGGAAGCCGAGATGTGAACCCAAATCCTCCTGAAACCATACCCTGATACTTCAACTTCTCTATGATGTGATGTCACTGGTCACATGTCAGCTCATCTTGTGGACCCACCCTCTTTCCTCCTAGATCACCGTTTCCTGGGGGAAGCTCTCTGTTTGATTCCATTCCCTAGTTTCTATGGTAACAGAACAGTGCTTGTCGTGTAGTACACAAAGTATGTGTCTGTTTTTGAGACAGGCTGATCTGAAACTAACTTTGTAGACCAGGCTGGCCTTAAATTCATTGAGGTCTGCCTGCTTCTGCTTCTGGAGTGCTGGGATTAAAGTCATTCACCACAATACCAGGAGGCAGGCAGTTTTCTGTGAGTTAGAGGCCAGCCTGGTCTACATAGTGAGTTCCAGGACAGCTAGTGATACATTGTGAGATCTCATCTTTAAAAAAATAACAACACCAGGCAGTGGTGGCACATGCCTTTAAGCACTTGGGAGGCAGAGGCAATTGGATCTCAGTGAGTTCAAGGCCAGCCTTGTCTACAAAGAGAGGTCCAGGACAGCCAGGACTGTTGCACAGAGACACCCTGTCTTGAAAAGGCAAAAAAGAAAAGAAAAAAATAACAACACACACATACATTTTTTTTTTTTAAAGACAGTGTCTCTCTGGGTACTGAGATTAAAGGCATGTACCACCATGCCCAGCTCACTCCACATGTCTTACTTATATCTCCAAGGACTAGAAAAAAAATGAATACTTCTTCTGTAGATCAGGCTGGCTTCGAACTCACAGAGATCTGCCCTCCTCTGCCTCCCGAGCGCCGGGATTAAAGGGGTGCGCCACCAAACCTTTAATCCCAGCCTTTGATCACCACTGCCAGTAAGAATGAACACTTCTGACATCAGTTCATAAGACGGTGTTAGGCTGGAGGCAGGACGTTTTTGAGGGTAGGTACCTTCCCAGTGACCTCCAGGCATCTTCCTCAGGAAGGTTGGAGGGAACTGAGGCGACTCCCAATGCTACAGCACTTTCAGAACTCATACCTTTTGCTTAGCGCTACATCTCAGCAGGCAGGCAGGCAGGTCAGGCAGAGGGGAACACGCATGGTTCCCAGTGAGCTGGGAAAATAAGGTTAGATTTGGATTCAGATAATTATTTGTGTTTTCTGGGTCTGCATGGTCGATAAATGTTCAACGAACAGTGATTCTGTCCCTCATCTTTCATGGCTTTATGGGACTGCAGGGAACGAAAGCATAACATCCTGCTTTCCCATAAGTTCCTCGCCGCTACCCTGGCACCGATTAAAGGCATGTCTATGTGATTAATCAAAAGCCGATGTGGAAGCACTCTGGCGCTGCTCCTCTGATGCGCTGCCTGCTTTATATACAGTAGTTCCTCAGCAACGGCGGCGGCAGCGGCGGAGCCAGCACACAGGGGCTTTTGACGAACTGGCTGTGCTTGCCCCAAATGTTAACTATGCCGTCTGACGTGACTAATGAGGCTCCGGATTTGATCTGGGCCGAGCGGTCCTGCTGTCTAGAGGAGGCTCACGTTCCGCAGCCGACCTGGGAAGAGGCTGCACTGTTGGGCTGTACACTCCGTCATGTCAGCTGGAGTCTGGGAGGCCTCTAGTGTTGGAGCTGGGAGTTGTCTACCAGGAGGGTGAGGGAAATTCGTGCTAGGTTCTGTGCTAGACCTGAAGTAAAGGGGACCTAGTTAAACTAGCTCAGCCTCTTTTTATAGAAATGAAAACCAAGATCCAGTAAAAGTGCGGGACTGGCAGGAGCCTGAGCTTTGGAGAGAGAAATAAAGGCGTGGACACAGGTAAATATATAGGACGTTAATGACTGGGGCCCAGGGTAAACACACCTTATGAAGGGTTCGACTCTGGCCTGCCGACTTTCCTCAGCAAAATATTGTCAAAAGGTGAGGTAGACAGAGCCCCTGTCACCCCTGTAGTCCCAGAGAAAGGGGTGTGGAGCCCACAGAGCTGGGGTTGAGACAGTCTAATCTTCAGCAAATCTTCATTTTCCCAAGCTCTGGTTTCCTCGACTGCAACAGCCAAATACGGCCCACTTGGCTACTTCCTAGAGCCTTGTGAGACCTGGCGGAGTCAGTGAGTGTGAAGGAGCAAGAGTCTGCGTGTGTGAGTTCCTACTCCCGTTACTGCCCTCTCTCAGGAGCTCGGGCTCAGCCCTGGAGTGTGGGTCCACAGATGTCTTTAACTCTCTTCTTCTGCCTTCTTCTTCTAGAATGCACAGGAATGCAAGGGACGTCAAAGCAACTGGTCACCTATAATCCCAACAGCTTTCCCAGAAGGTCCATGACATATAAAGGGGAAGAACACACTCGTTGTTGTTTAATGTCGTTCCACACAGTGACTGAACACATACCATATGCCAGACATTGGCCAAGCTGTGTGGGGGATCAGAGTCAGATAAAACATGTTCCATGGCCACCTTGAGAAGCTCACCATTTAGTGGAGGAACCAGACATGGACATAAATCATTATAATGTATGGCAGAAGAAACATAATTACCTTAGGAAAAATACAAATCAAGGGTTTTCGGAGAAAGAAGAGGGGGTGATTCATTCCCCAAAAGGAGGCTGGAGAAAGGAGTGTGGACTCTCTGGCACAGAGGCTAAGGGTGGAGCCCTGATGGTAATGCTCACCCAGCACTCATGGAACCCTGGTTTCTACCCAAAGTTCTGCATAGGCTGGTTATGGTGGTGAACACCTGTAGCCCAAGTACTCTTGGATGGAAGCAGGAAAATTGGGAGTTCAAGGCAGGGTAGCATAAGACCCTTTGTATAAATAAATAAATAAATAAATAAACAAACAAACAAAGAAGTCAAAGGAGGTGACATTATAGTACAGGCAGAGGTTAGCTGCGTCAGGAACCATGAGAAAGAACATCCCAGGCAGATGGGCAGATTCTGGAAAGTGTTCATAACTAAAAGGAGAGAATAAAAATCAAGATACTTCAGTGGCTGGTTCCGTTTCAATGTCTCCTGGCTGAGGTCACCTTGACCTCTATCCTTCAGTCTGAAGCTTACACAGGCCCTTCCTCTAGCAGGGCCAGACTGGTACTCCCGCCAGGAAGAGCCAACAACAAATGACCAGGGAACAGCAATCACCATCAGAACCAAAACCTCCTAGGTCGAGGAGGCGCCAGGTCACTGCCATACCTCCCGGCCCGGGTAAGAACTGCACACTGGCTGGGGCATCCACTCCAACATTAGAGCATGGCAGCAGACAACCAGGACCTCAGCCTGGCCACATGGTAACTTTGTCTCCTCTCTTTTGCCTAGAAAGAGCTAGCTTCTTCAGAAGTGCTGCTGCCAGGGCGGCCCTGGAAGACCCAGGGCTAGAGCTGCACTTCAGACATGCCACGAAGCACTAGGGACTCCTGTCTTCCCCGTCTTTCCACCCTTCCTCGGGAATTGTTCTAATTGCACAAACAGCACAGTGATAAGAAAAGAAACTCAAACACTAAGAGAGAGAAGAAAGAACAGCCGCTTTCACGTCGCATCCTCGTTCCCTCCCCTCCACTGGCGGGAACAGCCTTTGCTTTTCCGCTGTGGCACTGATACAACCATACATCCTATTCTTACTGCTAGGCGCCGCGTAAACGTGGCTTTTCCTGCTTTCCCACCCACTGCTGTCCGCACAGGCTCATTCTCCTGAGACTGAACTAAAATGTCAGGACCGGGCATGGTGGTGGTACATTTTTATAATCCTACCATTTGAGAGACTGAAGCAGGGGGGTGGCTAGGTTGAGGCCAGCCTGGGCTACATAGTGGGGCCCTGTCTCAAAACATAAAATGAAACAAGAGGATACGAAACTAGAAGAGGGATATGGAGGAGTGGTCCAGAGGCATCTGGGGTAGTTATAAAAACATATTACATGTATGAAATTCTCCACGAATGAACAAAATTAAACCTTTAAATTAAAGAGACTTACCATAGATGCATGTTGTGGTTTGGATGTGATGTGGTCATACACCCCTCTAAAAAGCTAATTAATTGAATGATTGGTCTAGCTGGTAGTCCTATTTTGACAGGTGCCGGAAACTTCAGGAAGGTGACCTAGATAAAAGAAAAAGGTCAGTATGCAAGGTTCCTTGGGGGATCTTGGCCATGGCCTCTTATCTCCGCTTCCTGTCCATCGGGAAGTGAACAGTTTCCTCCTTCATATGTTCCCATGGTCATGATGTTTGGCCTCACCTCAGCTCCTAAGTTGACCACAGACTGAAAACAGCTGATTCCTGTCTTGACACTGTTCTCTGAGGTATTTTGGTAACAGTCATGGGAAGCTCACTGACACAGTGATAACAGCATCATGTCACAGAGGCAAAACACTGCTCTGCCTCCACAGTAGCTCCAGGGGGCGTCTCAGCTCCTCTCTGAAGCCAGCTGTTTCTAGGAAGATCATGCCATCTCTTTGAGCCTCTGACCCCTTTTTGTAACATGAGAATGGCATTAGTACCACCATCGTGGCAATGTGTGACATTGTGACATTACTGTGACAATTGTGACATTAGAAGGGAAGTGCCGGGGCAGGAGTGACGGCTCAGTGGTTCAGAGCAATTACTACTCTCGGAGAGGACCCCACTTCAGTTCCCTGAACCCAGTTCCCACATCTGGCAGCTCACTATGGTCTCCAAGTCCATCTCCAGAGAATCCAACGCCCTCTCTTGGCCTCCATCAGTACTGCACTCATATTCGCACATACACATAATAAAAAAAAAAAGGCCCCCCCTCTGCCCAGGTGCTCCTTGAGCAAGTGGCAAACTCACTGTCTTCTCTCCAGTCTCAGCCAGTGGCCTGCCTGAAGCCCATTGTGGTCATGCTGGCTGCTGGCCTCCCTTACTGCATCACAGCCCTGCATCACAGCCGCAGGCTTCTGAGTTTCCTGCATACCACCTCTACCTCAAGCTCTGCCTCTGCTCTCCAATCAGCTTGCTGCTGTTCTCATAGGTCACATAAAACAGATGCATTTGATGCTAGCTGGGTGACACCTAGATAAGCCAGACAGATGTCTGTGGATTGAACAAGGACTGAATGTACTTGTTGGCTATGATCTGGTTCCCAAGTCCAAATAATGACCATTGATGATACTCTGCGGGCATTCTGACAATATAATGATTTTGATAGTGCTGTTTGCATCCTGAAGTTTGTTATGGACAAATAGGAACTCACAAGGAAATCTACCACTGTGTAGAACTGGGCCTCCACACGGTGAAACTCCCCTTGGTGGGCTTCCTAAACATTCACTGCTGTTGCTACCAGATGGAAGCAATCACTTGGAAATGTTTTATTTCAACAAAGTTGCCTTTGAGAATCAACCATGTAATAGCAACTTGGACTTTAATAAAAGGAAAATGAGTTTGAACTGAAAAAAA